TAGAGTTGATTTGTAATTTTAAAACTTTAGGAGTGATTTTTAAAAAATTATTTTTAAGTTTGGTAGTTATAATTTCTATGTTTCATGTGTTGGTAGTAATTTTCAAATGTCAGAATATTTCTTAGAACTCTAAAAATTTAAGGGTTATTTTATAATTATTAAAATTTTAGATTAATTTTGGAAAAACTCAAATATCAGAGGTCTGCCAATAATTTCCATATTTAATGTGTACCTGTTATAAATTTTAAAATTTTAGAGTTTTTTGCGATTTTTAAATTTTGAAGAAGTTTTTTGTTGCAAATTTTTATAACTTTAAGGTTAATTTTAGTAAATTTTAAATTTTTAGGTGCATGAAGGTAATCTCTTGAAATTATCTTTTGTTGTTTACAAATTTTAAAATTTTAGAATTTTATGGTGGTTTTTTATAGTTTGAACTTTTGAGGATGTTTTTATAATTTTTAAGACATTGAGGGTATTAATTGGAAATTTTAAATTCTTCAGAGACTGCTGTTAATTTCTTAATTTTATGTTTTTTATTCTAAGTTTGAAATGTTAAAATTTTTCAGGTGCATCATGGTAATTCCTTGAATTCATTTATGTTGTTTGAAAGTTTTGAAATTTTAGAATTTCAGGGTGTCTATTTGTAATTTAAACTTTTGAGGGTGTTTCTATAATTTCTAAGACGTTCAAGTGTTAGCTACAAATTTTAAATTTTTCATAGACGGTTGTTAATTTCTTGATTAATGTTTGTTATTTTAAGTTTTGAAACGTCAGGATATTTTCTATACTTTTAAAGTTTTTAGGGTATTCTGTGTAATTTTAAAACTTTTTAGGTGTTTTTTGCAATATTTCATGTAGTATAGTATATTAGTTACGTATAATTTCTGAACAAACTAATACCTTAAAGTTGTTTTATATACTTTATTAATATTATTTTTTAAAATTGTTGAGCTATAGACAGTTCACGTAGGATTAGGATATGATATAATTATAATTAGGATAGATTAAGATATAAATAAAATATTCAAAATAATGAATAATAATATTAACTATGAAAAGATTTTACCGAATTCGCGATTTTAAAGGGAGTATATGATTTGCTTGATTCAGTCTAAAATTATGCAATTTCATAACTACACTTGCTTGATTCAGTTTAAAATTATGCAATTGCTCAGTCGTAGTTGTATTTGCACGTGAGTTTAGGGTTTTAGACGTCTGTTAGGGACTCGTTACTAGTGTCTTAGCAAAAAAGAGAAGAAAGGGATGATAAATTTGAGAGATATTGGAACGGACACAAGTAAGCATACGAGGATACGATTTCTTCTGAGTAAAAATTGACCCAAAATATTTCCAGCCTGATACAGTTCAAAATTGGAAAGAGCGCACCTCACCTGTCCCCTACCCTGTCCCATGAATTTGGGTCCTTGGGGAATTTTCCCTTCATATAAACTAGACGGTTGGACCACTTACCCATATCAGTCAAACATCTGAACTGTTTGACTAATTCGAAGTGTGGAGCAACGAGGAGGGGGCACCTCACCTGTCCCCTACCCTGTCCCATGAATTTGGGTCCTTGGGGAATTTTCCCTTCATATAAACTAGACGGTTGGACCACTTACCCATATCAGTCAAACATCTGAACTGTTTGACTAATTCGAAGTATCATAACAAAAAAGTAGATCAAATCTATTACTTCTAAAATTATAAAGTAGAAAGTAGCATAAATATTATTCTTTTTATTTATTTCATAAAATTTTGAAAGTAAAGGAAATAGTATTTCACCACTTCATTTAATTTAATTTAATTTTTTGTTTGGATAGCAATATAAATATTGTCAGGAAGAGAGAAAGAGAATCTTTCGGATTTTATTTAGAAATAGACAATATCCATACAATAAAAAATTTGGTTTTATTTCTGAATTGACTTAATTTCAACTACTACCAAGATACTTCTGAGCCTTCGGGGGAGGGAAAAAATTCAAGAAATAAAAATGACACATAAACACCACCATCAGCATTTAAAGAGGCACTGGAAGTAGTTTTTCTTGAGTGTGCTCGAAAGTAGCAAAAATAGTTACTTCAGTTACTTCCATACAAACAAACAGACTCTAAGCTAGTATAATGCTGATACACCATACAGCCATCTTCTTACCGCACGCATCATTATGATGCACGAATCACAAGTGAAGAACCGCAGATATGCCATCCATAATACATCAGCAGTCTTGATCATCCTGGATAAGCCAAAATCACCAAGAACAGATTTCACTCTCAATTCAGTTGTTGTATTATAATTTGAAACAACTCCCTGTTCCAGAACTGCACATATCCACACATGATCATAACAATACTCCTTTTCTAAACAATGAAAATTCATCATGGATGACAACACTAAAAACAAAGAAGCATTAACCATGACAAGATCAAACTTGGGTGCAAAAAGGAGGAAGATGGAAACATTTATCTGTAACTTCTTTTCATTTCCAAAATTTATTCAGTTACATTTTTCTGGCCGTATAATTGCAGGCGCTATTAATCATTGACCCGTCCTTGAACGTCCCTATTAAACCAAAACTCAACTCTATCTTGTGGCCAAAAAACTATATATCAAGCTAAGTTACAAAAACAATTTAGTTAGGAAAATAATTGGATCATGAAAAAGAATAATTTGAAATCGTCGCTTCATGTCAATGCAGACTCCAACCAATCTGACGTGTATTCATATGCCACAAAAGTAACGGCGCCAGCAGGTGCTGACTTAACCAAGGAGGGAACTATGCCTTTGTAGAGACCGGCCCAACCCTCTGCTTTAGCAATCTGGCTCAGGGCATGGTACATACTACTGTATGTTTTAGTCTCGACTCTTGCTCCGTACTTTGGATGCCTTTGCAATCCTTCAACCTACAGTTTTGTCATGACAAGGATGAGATTTTTGGCTAATGGCATTATAAAGAAAACAAATAACTTACAGAACCAGGGCAAGAGAAACCAAACGAGCAACATGTTTGAGAATCCATTGTTTTTCCAGGACAATTAAACGACCTTATAGGTGATTTGTTACTCTGATGCAACTAGAAGTTCTTGGTTTTTGCATACACATTTTTAATTCTTTTCTTTTTCTTTCTCTACCCTCGCGCCCCGCCACCTCCTCCACTTCGATACCCAACCAGAAAGCATTTTTCTTCCCTCCCCCCCCCCTCCCCCCCCATAGAGACCCTTCCTCCACTAGATCACCAACCAGAAAGCATCAAATCTTTTTCCTTTTTTTCTCTTTCTCCCCCCCAAGGACCTCCTCCCAGTCTGATACCAACAGAAAAAGCATTTCATAATCTTTTTCTTTTTTTCTTCTCTCCACCCCCCCCCCCCACCCCCAAAGGACCTCCTCCCACTGATACCAACAGAAAGCATCAAAACTTGAGTTTGCTATAAGAACAAGATGTGATAGTACAACCAATTAAAAATGTGGGCTCGAACTAATCTCAGTTGGTACACGAGTCTTCAAAATGGTCCCACAGGATCCACCACTTTTTTTATGAACAAAAGCGACAGAAAATTGAAGGTACTGGAACCACCCTGGATTCAATTAGGCGGATTCAAGTTATGGACTGTGATTGCCTATAGAATAATGTTTCCCATGATAATACCATAGAGTAGAGCTTTACGTTTGGGATATAGTAGTTACCTGAAACCTCTTCTTCACAACATCAAGAGGATGACAAACTGCTTTTGCACATGTTCCAGCTGCAAAACCACAAAGGAAAAGCTGGAAGCTTGAAGGACTTTCGTCTTGCCTAATCGTACCAAGTTGGGAAAATCTGTATCTGTTCCACATCTGTAGCAAAAAAGGGAAACAAAACAAAACATGTTATGGGCAGCTTTACGGTTGCTGACAGAAATCAAGTGTGAAATATCAATTTCATTTTACACAATTTTGAATGAAAAAAAAATCAGCTTGTACTTGCTACATGTTTAATAAAAAAAAAGGCTTAGGCAGATGAGTGGGCCAACAATTAATAATTATGTGAGGACAAAGCCATTAACAGCAAACCCTCACCATGGCGTGGAAAACAAAGAAAAGAGAAATATCAGAATAGATGTTTACGGTCAAGTTTAAGTAGGAGATCCTTCCACTCCTAGAGCTTCAACATGTATTTAATAGCTTATAACCAAAAACTTAAGCAGATGAGTGTTGGCAAACAATTAATAAGTATGTAAATTGTCAACTTCAAACACACCCCACTGCGAAGAAAATAGCAGCAGAAAGGAGGAACTATACGTCTGACATCATCCCATGACCTCATATCTTACAAAACCTATTATAGTTAAGTTACCAGATTACCAGAAGAACTTTCTAACTGTGCTGCTTTTAAGAATGTCAATCATATTATATGCTTACGAGTCTTGATTGGATTAAACAAAATTTATAGCATTCTTCAAGTGTATTGCAAACGCACTCCAAAATGTAGCATGCATAGTGATGGAGAGGAAAACTCTCTCATAAAATATCCCACCAAGTGGAAACCATGGAAAGAGTCAGACATTAGAAGTTTAACGATATCTCACTTGTTCAAAGAAAATAAAAGAAAGATGACCTTTAAGGATGAACAAGAGTATATGCTAGTCTGGTTTTTATCATCTTTCAAATTTCAACTACTCAACCCATTTTCAAAACGACCTAATTAGATTTGTATAATCAGAGATTCAGAATCCTAATTCCATAACTTACTAATGCCTAATGGTCATACAAAAAATCCAGCAGTTCTCATCTATTTACAAGATTCACCAAATAAAGAATGTATTACTAGCATCTATCTAAACCATCCATTTACCATTCTCCTACCAAATCTTCCACCAGATAACATTTGTGAAGCAAATAAAGAGATTTGAAGGTCGCACTAAAAGAGTCAGAAATTCTTCCAACTTAGTGCAGGATGAGATATTCTTATTCTTCAAAATGCAACTGGGAACTAGCTTAAAATTCAAATCCAGTGGTTGAAAACCAGATTAACATTAACCAAAAGGCATCACATGTCGGGATGAAGCCAAAAAAAGGAAAAAAAAAAACCGAAAAAGCAAAAAAAAAAAAAATCGTGACTTAGATCCTACAGGTACTGAAGAATGTACAAGAGAAAGGAAAAGGCAAGGTTGAAATTATCCCATTGAAGGATGCATAAACCATGATTCCAGTTAGGAATTTAGCAATAAACAAAATGGCCATAATAGCAAAAACCATAATGCTTTCTAGCAGTTTACCACAGGTAAATGAGGCTTCCAATAATCTGACAATATCATACAGAATCCTAGGATTACCTGAGTCAACACCCCAAAAACTTGTAAAAAAGCTTATTTTGCTAAGTAAACAGAAATGACTAACTATAAGTTAGGAGGTCAGGATCTTGCCTAGAGATCTTTCAATCTTGAGAACAAGGAGGTAAACTGACCACACATTTAAGATTGTCATCAAAGGTATTTTTTTCAACAATTGATCAATTTCAAAGGCACAACCAATAATCACATTATCTTTTTTCCCCTCCATAAATTTTTCTTTAAAAAATTGTATCATCATCAGTATCTGAAAGCAGCACAGTGACATCACACACGTACCAAAAGCCAATTCAATAACAGAAGAGAGTTAAGATCAGTACCATCATCCATCGCTTAAACGTGTCATACGTCCCAAACTGCAAACCAGCATATGGTATGATCTCAACAAGTGTCGGTGATAATCCAGCATACAGTCCTCGGAAACCACGGGATCTTATAATGTCAACAAACGCAGATGTCATCGAAGGGTACACCTGGTTATCATCAGGTCATCAAAGTCATTTCAGATTTGCAGTAAACTTTGAAATTTCAACAACTTATATGTTATAAACTTTTGTATTATGAAAATGGATTATATGAATCTAGAAATAATAACAAATAAAGAATATTTTGACAAAGTTTCAATCTCTCATGTAACAATACATAAAAATTGATTGGAACCATTGTTATCGAGGTGCGCGCTCCAGGCGTGTGCCCCAGGCCCCAGGCCTGCAGCAGTCGTGCCCCGCACCAGAGCCGGGACGCCGCAGGCACGCGGGGCGCGCGCCTCGTGTGCGCTTGGCGTGCCCGTCGGGCGCACCGACTCACTGCGCAGCTGATGGTGTGCAGTGAATTGGGTTGTTTTGAAATAAACGGGTTTCGGGTCTGGTACCTACATATTCCCATTAAACCTTTTTCTTTTTAGGTTTTGAGTGCTAATTTGATTATTTGACTTTATATGAGTTGCAGATACACACCAAGAAGAGGAATAGGTTGGATCACAATAGATTGCAGGATCTAGTATATTGCAAGCTTTGAAGGAAAGATTTGACTGCAGAGATATTGTTGATTCAATCAAGTTGATTGACATAGATGAAAACAACGAGTGGTTGTTAGGTCAATTTGGAGAGGGCAACAATGCGGAGAATGACTTGATGGATGAGGAGGATGACCTTAGATGGGGTGTTGTAGGCGTAGCAACAAGAGTTGAAGAAAAATTTGGACCAACTTTAAGGTCTACTGCTAGGGTTCGAGGATCTTCAAGTAGTATTGTTTTGTCATCTAGGAGCGAGCCGGACTTGGAGGATGAAGAAGAGTTCAATGAAGAAGAGGAGGAAACTGAGGATGAGGAAATTCCACTTCAATTGAATGACGATGATGATGAGGATGACTAGACATTCTGTTATTTTGCTACTTGCTTATTTTGTTTCGTAGACTTTTGCTAATATTGGATATTATTTTGCATTGTGATTTGTGGAAACTTATGAACTTCTCTATGTTATGCATGCTAATTAAGACTCTTTCGTGATTTAGTAGGTGAAATTATATTTCTTAGTCTTTTTAAGTGACAATTTATAAACATGTTGCTTATATGTTTCTTTGTTTTATGTTAAAAAATATTAGTTTGAGTTGTGTGCCTCAATTTAGTGAGACACGCACATTGTTGTGCGCCTTACGCATGGTGCGCATAAGGGACCTTTGCGCCCCGCATTGCGCCTTGCACCTCGATAACACTGATTGGAACAATGAATATCTTTCGAATGTCAAGGTCCAACATTCTCATTCAAATGTGTTGAAGTCGGTATACATATAGAAGTGACTTCTGGCGTTAAAGAAATCTTCTACTAAGCAAGTTATAAAAGACGAAACCATCCTTATTCAAGCATATGACTACAAGTCAATCTCTAAATGTTTTGGAGCTTAAGTTATAGAAAAAAACCCTTATTACAATTGTTAACAACACAGAGTGAGAGCTTTGCAACTTAAACTGATTCTCCGTTTCAGATATTAATACTTCCTAGAATTTCAAAATTCAAACACAGCATGTTCAAAATTCAAACACATCTTAAAATGGGTAAACTCGTAGTCACTCCTAAAAAATTATTAGGTTTAACACTATAAACCATGGACACTTCTTTGTGGCTCTTGAATTTACTTCAGGTACATGTTGAACACCAACAAATTCATGGACATGCTCTGGAGACCATGCTAAACACACTATGAAGTATCCAAGCCTAAAACTTTGAATCACCAAGTTTAATGCACAAACTAGCCTTTTTCTCGAATTGCCAATGCATTTTTTATTGGTCTAGATTATAACCTGTTTAGTCAATAACTAATAGCTAAAACACATCGAAACTGATATATGGATATGCCCATTCGCCTGTTACAATGTGGCCCAAACTTAACGCTCACCTCTCATCACCAATCATCAAAGGTTCTAGAAGCAAACTAATTTGACTTAATTGGTCTCAATACTTTGTTGATTCCCAACCAAAATTATATTATTAGCATCACATCTACTTCTGTTTTGTTACATAAATATGCACAAACATATATTATACTCATGCATGCGTGTCTTGCTTCTCACATATTCCCTGAATACCATGTCCACGCTTGTGCCACATCTTCCTGTGCCCATTTCCATATCTGTGTTCATGTTATATTTAAAAAAGAGTTTGTGGTTTAACATTCTTTTCAGACTGTCCAATTGGCCTGTAATAGCATAAAGATCAGCCACTGTAATACGCCTACTTCCACAGTTCTAACAACTGGAATCTGAGGGTATAAGGTGACAAGCTTATTATTACATGAATGAGAAAGTGAAAAGCTAGACGTTATCCAATAAAATCAAACTTTAAAATCTAGATAATAGAAAATAACGGAAGAAGTCATATCTCTAGATAATAGAAAAATAAGGGAAGAAATCATATCTAGTGGTAATGGGTTTAAACTTGAATGCAAACTGCAAAAGTTGAACACACTGCTGAGGCAAAAGATAACCTACCTTTGGTTCACCCTGCGATGCTAAAATTGTTCGTAAGAGATCAAATGGATATGATCCTATTGTTGCTGCACACCCGGCCAATGCCCCACTAACATAAGATAAATAAGGACTCAGGTGCAGATGTTCCTCTGCAAAGCACCAATATAACAAATAAAGCATGCAGCCTGAGAACTAAGAACAACAATATAAGATAAAGTAGCATTTCAGTCATTTTAGATATTAGTACAAAATAGTGCAATTTAGCTTGATTATGTTCTAAAACTGTACGTAAGAAAAGAGTTGAATCCCAGGCTATCTGAAACTAAATAAGCGACAGCCATCCAATCAAAAGAAGACCCAAGTGCAAAAGTTATTAGACAATCCCCTTCATACTTAAAAGCACTCAAGGAGGCAACACTTTCACAGGTATGAGGGAACACAGAGATTTAAAATTAAGGCAGCAATTATTTTAGAACTCATATTTCCATACGTTAGGCATCATTATAAAAGAACATTCAGCATGCTCCAACATCAACAAATGACAAGTCTACTGATATTGATCAAAGAATCTCATGGGAAAAAACATACTGTTAAGGAGATCTTAATTAGTTCCAGATTGAAAAGCCAAACTACAAACTATAAGTTAAAAGGATTTACCACAATATTAGCTATAAAGATCAACCTCAGCGATGATATCCATATAGAAAAAATAAATGGACAGTAACCCAAAAAATTAATAAATTAATAAAAAATAAAAAAATAAAAAAATCTCACACAAATAGTCATGAACAAATACAGCACTACATTACAGTGGCATCTGCAAGCCTTTAGTATACTGGTACCTAGTGAATACATATTACCGATTTACAAACCAAAGTATTATGTAAACTTGCTAGCAACCTAAAAATCATCCTTGCAGGAAATTAGACAAAGGCCTCTATATGAATAGAATAAAAGATGAAATATTACACTAACAACGTGAAAAGAACAAAATAAAATGTGACAGCAAAACAATGCATTAACAGAGGGACTACATCTACAAAGATCATTAACGTAACAGGCTTTCTGCTGATTCTGACATATCATGTAAAACAGTGAAAAACACCATAGCCCCTACCAAGCAAATTACGGACCTGCCTTGGAGGAACCTGCTGCAAAAGTTTTTAGCTTGTGCAGAACTGTAAACTGTATTGCAGTGTAAGGCATGTACATGAGTAGAGCTGGCACATTTCCTCTCCAAAAACCCTGATGCAACAGATAATCCAGGTAAACTGTATTGCAGTGTATTAGAACGTAGAAATTCTTCAACTCCAGATAACAAATTCAAAAGTCTGGACAGGAGATTATAAAGATAGAACATAGAGCGATAAACTTGAAAGTTGTAATGAACCACGCGGTGGAGGGTATATCATGCAGTGACATACATCATACATGTAACATTAATGATTGATCTCATACCCACATTAGCTGTATTCTAAGAAATAATGTTTATTCTAGTTCTTACTCATAAATCAGGAATTTTGTACATAAAATATGGCATCCTAGACAAAGCTTACTGCAATGTAGAATAGCAAATTTGCAATTACCATGCAGACCCTCTTTGATGTTAACATAGCAGCATTCTTGATTAATTGAAGCGTATAACTTCTTGCTAATGGGTATATTTCCGTGGTAGACAGAAGGTAATTTGAAAATCTCATTGATAGAAAGACTCAAAGAAGGAGAACTATAAATGTCAAAGATCTGGATGCACCATACATGTCACAACTAGAACCTTAGTAATATATGATATGTAATGCAATTAACCAAAAAATTATTGCATCTCAATTTCCAACATCTCTACAATCCCTATAATTGAGAACTATAAATGTCAAAGATCTGGATGCACCATACATGTCACAACTAGAACCTTAGTAATATATGATATGTAATGCAATTAACCAAAAAAATATTGCATCTCAATTTCCAACATCTCTACAATCCCTATAATTGAGCACACAGTTGACTGTTTTACTTGTGCAGTCCTACGTTTCGTAAAATATACCAATTTAAAGTAAACAACAGCTGTTTAAAGTTTCAATCAGCAATTCTTGTCATGGACTTATGGGAACAAAATTATTATAATATTTTAGGTAGTTATATTTAATATATTGAGCAGTGGTCCATAATTGAAAGTATAATAAAATGTACAGAACTATTAGGTAGCTAAAAATCACAAGCAAATGCTTCAAAAATAGACTTTATTATCAGATGTCATCAAGCAGCATATGAAAGATCAACCACTCAATTGGTAAGAGGCAGGTACCCCATAAAACAATCCAAAATCAAAGTATACAGGGAGCTTAATTTCTTACTTTACATTTCTATCAGACTCGGTTTAAAATATGCCAGAAACTAGAAGAAAAGGAAAACAAACACCAGCATATTAGTTAGGGTGATAAATACCGGTAGACCTTCCTCCCGAAATATGTCCTTAGTTGCTTGCAGGATACCGGTATATTTTGATGGCCTATATAAGTCCTTCTGAAGTAGGGGCCATGAAGTGGTGGGCTCTAGTTGAACCTGCCAATAGCAAATAAAAATGTTTTGGAGTTTCTGTTATAGAAGTGGTGTACAACTACAACCATAAGATCAGTGCAGACAATGCATATATGTTTTACAAATAGAAGATTTAAAACTTAGTTTGTATTGATTATCAAATAAGGTTCATATCCCAAAAAAATAAAATAAAAAAAGCATATACTATAGCTGACTAATAAGTTGTTCGGCAGATTGCAAAGTTTTGAATTATTTAACAAATCCCCTAAAATTCATCATTTGATTCTTTTCCATTCAGACAGCGTTCAGTTACATGTACATATTGATCATAATTTGAGACTACTTATCAACATGATGTAAATAAGCTGATGGCGTGCCATATTCTAAGCCCAACAAAATATAGTAAGAATTGAGGAAGGAAACATAACTAACTAAGGATTGCATAGGGAGCCCATTTTTAATAGTAGCAGTTTAAGCTCATGCATTTAAGGAACAATTCTCCAAAACGATTCTAGACTAATAAAGTCCAGAAGAAGAGAACATGACAGATTTTTTACATGCAGTTCCTCTGCATTCAACGCTAAAGGCCAAGAGAAAACAAGGCAACAGAGACATATTACCTGTTTCCAATCCTTCGCCAACAAAGGTTGCAACTTACAGGACAGTCATTTAGTTCTAAAATGCTTGTGCACTGGATTTAGTAGACTATATGTGTATAAACAGAAAAGAAACACCTAGAACACCTAGCATGCTTTCCTTAATTTAAGTAAATAAACATATATTCTTTCTTAAGAGTTAATGTACTGTCAATTGAATTTATAAGAAAAATTAATTTAAAGTTTTTTCGTACAACATTAATCGGAACTTTGGACAAGTCAGACTTTCCAGCACATGCACATTCTCAAGATCATGTGATTTCCTTTTAACATAACATTTGCAGGCTTCCATTGATCAATGATAGAGCTGTAAGAAATTTTATGGCAGCAACAGTTGAATGCTATTTCACTATAAATTTGAAATACTCCTATGTAATGTTGGCATACTATAGTATATAAACTAAAATTAGGCATTTTCAAGTCTGAACAGAATCAATAATTTATACTCGGAACGAACAATTTCCTACTTGCACTATACAATGAGAAAACAGTGCAATGTAATTCTAACAACATTATGTTTTACACCATACCCAAGGTTTAAGTTCTTACTAAACTTATCATCCAGAAACAACAAAATTCAACCTGCTTCAGCTAAAAAATAACTTCAAGCAGTCCAATTTGCTAAATTTAGAGTGCAATGCAATTCTAAGACGTTACTTTCTAATCATACCGATGTTTCAAGTTCTTTACTAAATTTAGCATCCAGAAACAAAAAGAAAAAAAAACCAAATTTAAGTAAAAATAACCAAGCTCGTGGTGCAATTTAGATAACATCTAATCACTCCCAATCAACATCGAGAATTGTTACGAACCTGGAACCGAATCTTGATCACATCGAGCGGCGACGTCACCGTGCGAGAAATCCCGCCGGAGATTGCTCCGGCCGTCGCGTCGATAAACGCCCTCTTCAGCTGCCCTGGCTCCTCCATCTCCTCAACCAAATCGAGATCCCCAAAATGAAAACAAATCGAATGCTAGAATATTGCAGCGGAATCCAAAAGACTCCGCCTTATAAATGAAAGGACTTAACTAGGGTTTTGAGGAGATTGAGAGGAATCTTCCAGTCGCCGACATTTGGCGAAACGCGGAGAAAACGGGAAAGGAGACGTCTTTACCTCTTCTTCCCTCTTTCAGACCTCGATTTTTTTTTTTCCTCCCAAAATTTGCTTTTGGTTTTGAAGAATTTTTTTTTGCTTAATTGCACTTAAATACCCCCATAGTTTACCCATATTGCACTTAAGTGACCTTTTTTTCTCAAATGGAACAAAAAAATGCCCCAAATATTTAAGTTTTGTTAATAAAAGTCTCAAAATTTTAAAATGTTGCACGTTGGTACCCTTTCTTCTTTTAAATGTTCAACCAAAAAATGTAGGTATACATTGTTATAGATAGTTGACTGAATGAACCAGAATTAGCTTTCAGATGCGGAATAAATAACTAGATAATCAGAGAATTTTCAGGAGCACTATAGGACCATGTTACCTCAAAACTTGAGTGAATTGGTCTCTTCTTTATTGGCTAAATAATAGCCGGGTCCCTTATATTTGCAAGTTATCGGTGAGATTCCTCATGCTATTATCAGTGGGACAAATTTTCAAAACTAACCTATTTGGAAATTTAATCCCAGAAAACAACCCTTTTCAAACTTAATTGCAAAAACCGACCTGGTTTCAGCCCCAAGGCTGAAACCAGGTCGGTTTTTGTGAAAAAACTTCAGAAAATTCACAGGAGTTGAACTCCCGTGAAGTTTAGTAGAACTGCTAAACTTCACGGGAGTTGAACTCCCATGAAGTTTCGCAGTTCAAAAAAAAATTGAACTACGAAACTTCACAGGAGTTCATTTAGCAGTTTTACTAAACTTCACGGGAGTTGGAGTTCAACTCCCGTGAAGTTTCGGAAAAAAAATTTCAAAAACCGACCTGGTTTCAGCTCCAGGGCTGAAACCAAGTCGGTTTTTGAAATTTTTGCAAAAGCGGTCGTTTTTTAAAAATAAATAGTGAAAAGGGTTGGTTTTGAAAATTTGTCCATTATCAGTGAGATTCCTCATGCTTCTTTGGTCATCAACCTTGATCTTTTTAAAAAAAGACTTTTGCTAAATCTCAATAATAATTTCCTTATCTTGGCAATTGCATGTAACCGATACATCTTTTGTCAAAGGAATTTAAAATTATTTTAGACTCATATACATGTAACCGATACATCTTTTGTCAAAGAAATTTAAAATTATTTTAAACTCATATACACTGTAACCTTGTTTATTTTTTCTATAAGTTGTTATATATGTGATGTATATTTGAATCAAATGCTTAAACCATTTATTTGACTTTTCCCCCTCACGCTAGTGTTGTAACATCATACATGAGTTTTAGCCTATAAAGGAAAACACTACAGACACACCCCCAACCACACCTTGGGGCACACCCCCTCTCACAGCTACAGTGCACGAGGCCATTTTAGATTTTTTTTTTTAATCTAAAGTGGGCCCCATGCACTGTAGCTGTGAGAGGGGGTGTGCCCAAGGTGTGGTTCGGGATGTGCCTGTAGTGTCACCCGCTTATAAACCTAACGTTTAATAGCTATCTAATTCTATAATCAATATTCACCTATAAAAATACTTTTTTTATCTATAAACTAAAAGTTTTACACTCATATACTTCTAAACCCATCCACTTCCAACATCACACACGAACACAAAAGTACTCCAGCAACTTATTTTAAACTCACTTTGTATCTCAACGGCATGATATACAGTGTAAGTTGTTATGGTGTTTTCAGTCGCCAACTTATGGACCATTGCCGATAATAGGCAAATATACCCCGTCACGCACCATTCAATCAACTCGACACTTAGGACAGCCAGGACAACATAGCCAACTCGCCGAATCAACATCTCACTCAGTCGACTCGAATGGCGATAGTATCATCGGTCCTCTCATCAAAGGCGACTAACTAAGAATCCACTCAACCAGTTAATTAGTTGGCGTCTCGTTGCGTCGACTTGAAAAGCGTTACTTCTCGGCATCCCTCGATACAAGTCAAAAGACAACTTCGATCTCGAACCCTCTACTGACAGCGTATCGACATCACATTAAGTGCTTGGCAGACGCCATCATTTCTCCATCCCAATACTATTTATGACACATTGGACCGTGGCGGCTTCGTGCGCTGCCTATCCCTTCTTATTAATGCCGAAGTGATAGCGCCCATCCCGTGACCGCTCTACGACTGACACCTGTAAAGTCGACGCTGACTCAGCCGCCAGCTCAGGCTCGGCCAAAAAGACTAGAATACCCCTCTTGCATGACTATAAAAAGAAAAACTATTCCAAATGCAAAGGTGAGCAATTTCTCAGAATTTTTCTTCACTAGAGAACTTGCACAGTTTATCACTTTCCAACGCAAGTATATCACTGACTTGATCGTCGAAGGAACAACGGGGGAACTAGTCCCCGTCCTCTTACGAGTTGTTACACGTGTAGGAAGGAAACAACTTAACCCCAAAATCGGATATTCGGAGAAGTTATCGGCTCCCACTCAATCTCACCTTCATTACATCATCTGTGTGATTATTAACATCAACAGTTTGGCACCCAACGTGGGGCTTTCTCCCTTTTCCGAACAAGTATGTCTGGTTCTGAGCGTAGGGTTGATCAGTCCATCCCTGGAGGACCATACCAGAGCTACATCACTCAAGCCCAACTTGAAGAGATGGCTCAGAAGATCTCTCATTCCCTCCAATAGCAACTCTCTACCTTCACCAGCGAGCTCCTCAGTCGGTTTCCGCAACCGTAGCAAGCTACTTCCGTCATTCCTCCTCCTTCAGGAGACCAGCGATCAGGGACTCGCCTCCCTTCAGTAGCTTAGTATGTCCTCCCCGAACTCCTTACGTTGCCGCCAAGTAGCCAAGAGATCGTGTCGATCACCCGACCCCACCACCACACCAACCGACTCACCCCGTAGAACCTCGCTGGCGCCTCCTCCCTTATTTTGAAGCCACCGACGAAAGTCCCAACCCTAGTCGCTCTAAAGATCACACCAGGGGTGGAGTGTCTAAGACCCCCTATCAACGTGTCTCTCCAGCCCTCTCTACCACCCTAGGGGCATCTGGACATGATCAGGTGTACAGATTGATTACTGAAGTCATTGGGGGGAACATCCCCTTTCCGACGACCTCATAAGCATCCCATGTGAGAAGTTCAAGATGCCTCACGTGGAGAAGTACAAGGGCGAAGGAGACCCCTCTGAGCATGTCCAGAACTATTATGATATAATAAGCATGCTCTAAGCATCGAAAGCTATCATTTGCCGATGCTTCCCTATTACTTTGTTAGAGAGCACAAAGCTCTGGTGGAACGCCCTTGAGAAGAAGTACATCAGCAACATCCAACAACTCAGTCGGAAGTTCATCCACCACTTCTTAGCCGACACCAAATAGAAGTTGCCCCCTCATGTGCTAATACAGATGAGGCAGAACCCCGGAGAGAGCCTTCGAGCCTACTTCAAGAGGTTCTAGGCAAAGAGGTTGGAGGTTAATGACCCAGGAAGTTTGGTTGCTATGTCCGCTCTTATGGCCGGCCTGCAGAACAACGAATTGGCCGACTCACTAGTCAAGAACCCAGTCACCAATTATGAACAACTAATGGCCAAAGCTCACGGGTATATGGACATGGAGGATGCCCGAGCTTATAAGGTAGCAGCCAATAGCGATAGCAGTAGCACCAGTAATAGCAATTACACCGCCCGCACCACCAACACCTACAACAGTACCAGTTATGGCACCGACACCAGGTCAGCAAGAGCCCTCCTAGTAAGGCAGGAGTGGCCGAGAGACCCCCCAAGGGTCAAACCCAGCTCCAACCGGTCTGACAGGAAGGATCGACAGAGGGACCCAACACTAGACCCGCTCTCACTGTCCTCAACACCTCTCTCTCTCTCAGAAGCTCTCAACATGGTCCAAAAGGAGGGACACCTCAATGAGCCCCCTCCTAAGATGAGGTCGGACCCATGGAGCCAAGACACGAAAATATTGCCGCTCTCACAGAGGTCACGACCATCTCACCAATGATTGCCATATCTTGAAGAGGGACATTAAGGACTTGATCCAGAGAGGGTACCTGAAGAAGTTTGTCTCTCAGAGAGATAGGAGGGAAGCTGCCCCAACCAAAACCGATAGGAGATCTCGTTCGTGGTCGCCTCATCCCCAACCACGCCAGGATAGTTGACAATCGGAGCCCAGTCATAAGGGAGTCATCAACGTGATCAGTGGTGACCCCACAACTGGAGGGTCATCTAACAACGCCAGGAAGAGGTATGCTAAAAGGGCGTTGTGGGTCGACCTGGGTGACAAGAAGCCGAGAGTGGAGGAATCCATCTCTTTTGGAGATGCCGACCTGAAGGGCATCAAGACGCCTCATGATGACCCCATTGCCATAACAGCCAGGATTGACGGCTTCTAGGTGAAGAGGATTATGGCTGACACGGGAAGCTCGGTGGACATCCTATATATCGACGCCTTCAACCAAATGGGCATCAAAAAATTTTGATTCCTTCCGTGTAGGGGTCCCATCATCGGATTCATAGATCACTCTCTCCTGCCCAAAGGGATAATTACTCTCCCCTTAACGGTCGGAGAGTATCATAAGTAATCCACCATTCAAGTCCAATTTTTGGTGATGAATCTCAAGTCGGCTCATAAAGTCATCTTGGGCCGGACCACCCTCCATCTCTTGCAGGCCATCCCATTAACCTATCACCATATGTTGAAGTTCCTGACTCCCAATGGAGTCGGGGTCGCCAGGAGCAACCAAAGAGAGGCCAGATCCTGTTACCTGCTCTCGACCAAGGGCAAGGGCGTGCAAGAGACCCTGCCTATTGAGAAGGTATGTCTCTAGATGGAGAAAACAACGGTAAGGCAGAGGACGATGCCGGTGGAAGAGCTCCAGAAAATACCAATCGACCGGGAAGGACAGAAGACAGTCAAGATCGGATCTAGTCTTGTAGAGCCTTTACGAGGAGCATTGATAGAGTTCTTGCAGGCAAACGCTAATGTGTTTGCCTGGGGGTCCGAAGATATGCCTGAGATCCCCCCTGAAGTGATAAGCCACGAGCAGGTAGTCAACCGGCACCCCGGCACCCCAAGCCTGTGCAACAAAA